AAATAGAGTAGATTACAGAGTAATACTGATTATTAAATGATACAGCATAATATTAATTTTCCTCAAATAATTTTTTCTTTTAAGTAACTTTTAGGTGCTAAACGATGTCTTTGGTCTTCCTCAACAGTGATGCCCATCTAGCCTCTGGGATATTTTTCATATTAGACATGCTGAGACTTTTCGTTTTGTACTCATAGTAGACAAATAAGAAAAGCAGAGAATTTGGAAGATGTGATGGAGAAACTCTACAAAACAGTTTATTCTCTGGAAAAGAAGCATCAAAAAAGAGACAAAACAGTTCTTATATAAAATTCAAAAGCTTTTGTCCAAGAAAAGTACACGCAGCTAAAATAAGAGGAGAAACAGTAAAATGAGGAAAGAAATTTTTGCATCAAATATTTTATCTCTGATGAAAGTCTGATATCTAAGATTTAATATATAGTTTTCTTTCTTTCTATTTCCTTATGCAGCATATCAGGGTCTGTGATGTCAAAATATGATAGATCCCCTCTCACTGATCAAGAGTTTGCTATAGAAATATTCACAGAGCCTTTTAGTTTTTATCTGTTTTCTTTCAGTTTTATCCTTAAATAATTTCCTGTGCTTGAATCCTGCCATGAGACATGTACCAGCCATGTGACCCTGGGGCAAGTCACTTCACCTTTTTCAAGGTCCATGTCCTCATCTGTAAAATGGGCATAATAGTGCCCACCTCACCGGTTTGTTGTGAGGATCAAATGAAATCATGTAATGGGGTCATTCCTTTTAGTACCTGACAGATAATAGGTAATAAATGCTTACTGATAGATTGCTTGATCTTAGAGCTTGTCTGTTCCCATTTTTATCACTTTACCATCTTCACCATAAAAACAGAAGTCGGATATGCAGGACTGAGTTCCATTTTTAAAAAATTTTAGTTGGGGCAGCTAGGTGGTGTAGTAGATAGAGTACCGCCCTGAAGTCAGGAGGACCTGAGTTCAAATCCGGCCTCAGACCAAACACTTGACACTTAACTAGCTGTGTGACCCTGGGCAAGTCACTTAACCCCAACTGCCTAAACAAACAAAAAATTTTTAGTTGTTTCATGTACTTCTGTGGACAAAGAATTTAACTCGTAGCCAAGCTATTTGTGATGTGTCTCTTTATATGTTGCTAAATTGGTCCTCATACAGTAGGCATGGTGTATTTCTTAACTGCACTTTAAACTTTTGTACTTTAGAAGAATTAGCCAGAACTTTTGCCTTCAAGAACCCAAGGTCATTTGTACCTTATAATGCGGCATTAGAGTAGGACTGTGTGGCAGCCAGAAAAGCTATTGCAATCTTAGACAACATTAAGAAAGGTATAATGTTCAGAACAAGGGAGGTGATTGGCTTATCATCACAATGTAAGGAAAAACTTCCTAACAATGAGACCTATCCAAAAGTAAAATGGCCTGCCCCAAAAGCAGTGGATTCCCTCTTACTAGAGATCTTCATGCAAAGGCTTGGTGACTGTGTGTTGGGCATATTGTAGAAGGTCTTCATGTTCAGATGTATGTTAAGACTAGATGTCCTCTGAATTCCCTTCCAACGATGTGATTCTGCGAAATTTCCTGTGACTTTGTAGCATCGGGGGTGTGGGGGTGTGGGGTAGGAACCATGTAGCTAATGTATTCATGCAGGTAATGAGTCTGATGATAATTGCCAAGGTTCATATAATATATATAACTTTTGGATTCAAGGACACTGTCATTCTGTCAAACCAATTCTCTTGCATACCTTTGAGATTATGCAATAGCAGTTTTAGGGTGTTTACTAAATGGCCAGTCCGTGTTAGATCAGAAAGAGCAGGAGAGAGAGAGGATGTTGACAGTTATGCTTTGACTTCATCTTTTTCTGCCACTCAAGTTCAGGCCCTCATCACTCTTGCCTGGATAGTTATAAAGGCCTTCTCGTTGGTCTCCTTGCTCTTATTTCCGCTCTCTCCAAACCATCCACGGCCAACTGTCAAGATTTTCTTCCTCAAGCACAGGTCTCTTATCATGTCGCACATGCCACCTTTCTGATCAGATCTTCAAGGACTCCCTATTGCCTTTAGAGAAGAAGTACAAACCCCGTACTTTGGCATGTAAAGCCTTCACAGTCTGGCTGCAACCTACCTTTGCATACATTTCATATTTTTTCTGTGTTGTGTACTTTACGCTCTAGCCAAATTGACCTGCTAGGCCCTCTCTCCCACTTCATAGCCTGCAGTACCTGGAATATACTTCTTATAACCGTCTCTTACAATACCTGCCTTCTTTCAAGGCAGAGTTTATGTGTCACCTCTTATGGAAAGCCTTCCATGATATATCTAGTTGTTGGTGTACTTTTGCTCGTCAAATTATTCACTTGATTATACATGTTGCATCTCCCAGTAGTTAACTCAGTGAGAACATGTACTATTTTTCTTTTTCTTTTTTATTTTTGGATTTCCAGCATGCAGCATAGTCCTTTATACACAGTAGATGCTAAATAAATGCTAGCAGAACTGAATTGCATAAAGTTATTTTCTATTTGACTCTCGGTTTTGGGGTGTTGGCTTTATGATTGTGTATGGAAGTGTTACTCGTTGAACAGTTTCACATACTTTCAGTAATCCCCTTAGCAGAAGCAACAAATACTCTTTGATAGATAAGCAGAGGAGAAACCAAATAGCCACTGGATAGAATGGATTCTTGTCCTAGAAGATACAAAATCAAATTCTGTTCTTAAATTACTCAGTAGCATTTTTTTCAAACTGCAAGTACTGTTTTATTTTAATCAGTCAGGATTCAAGCCCAAGTGATACATTTAAATCAATTTGAGACAAACTTACCCATGACTGAAAATTGGAACCAAAAGATTTGTTAATAACCTTCTGGTCTTACATTAGTGGACTAGTAGCCTGTCAAGTTCCATTTTATTATAAGAAATCTGAACCTTCCATTGCTGCCACATTTTTTAATCCTACAAAATGGCCACACTTTTACAGCCTATTTTCAAGCTCAAAACACAAGAGCAGTAAATATAGAAGACATTTCTTGGGTGAAAATTCATATCTTTGAACCATGCAGCATAGATGTGACAATCTAACATTGGAAATCATTACCTGAATTAGTCTGGCGTTTGGGACTCTGGACATTGAAAAGGGAGGTAAGTTGTTCAGATCCACTGGGAATACCAGAAATAATTGTTTTGTTGACAGTTTGGACAAAGGAGTAGAGGAAATCAGACTAAAGGAAATGAGAAAATAAAATAGAACTGTGTTGTCCTGCATTGTGAGGAATGTGACTCTTAAAAACATGTCTGTGAAAGTGAAATCTAGAAAGGTGTGTAATCAAAAGAACACAGTGTAAATGCACTTAAATGGATATTGCCAGTGGGATGCCCTTTAACTTCTAATGCTTTTTCCTACCCACAGAGAGTCCCATGCTTAATTAAAACAGTACTTGCCTTCCAAGATTGATGGGGAATATATATACATATATATGTATGTATGTATGTATGTATGTATAACTTATAGGAAATTCCAGCAGAGAGCTGATCCCATTAGTCTACTATTAGGCTATCATACAGTGCCATATATGTGTTATAACTTTTATCATAATGCTATTTTTTCTTTGATAATTTAATAACCAAAATAATGATAATGGGGTTTCATTAGTTTCTGTATATCTGTCTACTGGATATAAACCAACTCTTTTCCCTAATCTTTTATGCTCTCTAATTTTATAATATCAGATGTCTCCTAGAGTTTTCACAATTCATTATATTATATACAGATGTATTCCAGTCTTTAGTAGGGAAAGAATTGTTTTAGACAGCCACTTAGTGGTGCCTTTTCTTCTCACTTCATAATAGTTAATCTATTGAAATATTGTCAGGATAAAAGGAAAGGTGCAGAATTATTGGGGGATAAAGAGAAGGATTTAATATCGTCTATGAAAATACCAAGCCCCTGTTTCTAAAAAATTATCAGGCAGTTCATTCATTAGTAGGGTCAGAGGTGTCTTGCTGATGAAACATGCCAGCCTGCTAATGTGCAGGTGGAAAACTCAGCCCTTACAAGCCTAGAGACCATTTTGAGTATTGCCAGCATTTTGGTAAGGCTGTACAATCAGCCGTTGTGTATCAGGCAGGTGCTTTTCTGACACTAATCTGAGATGTGAAATGTATCCAAACCTCTTCTTAAACATCAGACTTTGTTTTACTGCCTTGGGTATAGCTAAAAATGTAAGGAGTAACTATAAAATGAGATCCTAAATCAGAAAAAAACAGTATGTTTTCCTGGGAGGGAAATCAGGGGAATAGTGCCTAGTCTAGATAGGCATAGAATAATTCATAGAACTTGGAATAGTACAGAGAGTCCTGGCCTGAGTCAGGCATCTCATCCTATATGAGAATTTATTAACTGACATTTCAAAAGGCCTATATGAGGAATTCAAGGATTAATTTGGTAACAAACTCACTTCACTCATTGTATTTAGACAAAAGATATTTTCTATAGAGTGGTTGTAGAAGGTAAAAGAACCATATGAATTGTAGTCTTGTCTTTTAAGTGAGAAATTTCCACTAGCCTTTATTGAAACTAATTTCATAAGAACCTACTAAAACAGGATTACTGTTTAGATTGGCCCAATGGGGAATGGCTGTGAAGTAGCAGGAGGGTTAGGAATGTCATCTATGATTACCAACCCACAGGTTTGGGTTTTTTTGTTACTCCTTTATCTAAATGCTGTTTTTTGCTTGTTGTGTTGATGAAAAGCTCAGCAATCTCTCCTTTCTTCTTTCAGAGTGGTAGAAATGGCAAAATGTGTTGTTTTAGTAATTATGTGAAATTAGTTGTGATTAGAAGGGTTCAGGGTCAGAGTTTTATTTATAGGGACAGTTTTATTTACAATCCTGCTTTTGATTGAGGCATATTAGAAGAGAAATTCAAAAGTTGTTTGAATTTTCCCAGGCAGATTGTCCCTGATGGTCCCTATTCTTTCACCTCAGATAATCCAGCCCCTCTTAGAACTTGACCAGAACCGCAGCAAATTGAAGTTGTACATTGGACATCTGACGTCTCTCTGCCATGACAGAGATCCCCTGATTCTTCAAGGACTAACTCCACCTGCCTCCTATCACCTGGACGATGATCGGGCAGCTTGGGAAAGTGAGCTGCAGAAGATGACCCGGGAGCAGGTCAGTTTATACCTGGACCACCATGAAAACTTATTAAAGTATCATGGCTGTTTATATTGACCCAATAGGGAGCAGCCTGTAGAGTGTATCACACAGATTCAAGATTTGTTGCACTAGCTATGGAACAGATGTCACTTTGACTCTGTCTATAAAGCAGTTCCGTGTGGTCTACAAAGAAAAAGAAACCATGCCATTTACGGGTGTTATGAATATGAGGACTGCTTGTTACTCTGACCACTTAAGGAAAATCTGAACTTCTAGAGGCTTAACATTTATAAGACAGGTCGCAAAACCCCAAAACAGTCTTCCTAGGTACATTACTCCATAAAGTAAATTCTTAGTAGAGGTCTCACAGCCTTTTGAAATGTTGGCTTTTCTGCACAGAGTAATAGCTAATATATTATCTCATTCATTCTCACAAGCCACCCTGTAAGGTAGGTGCAATTGTTATTTCCATTTTACAGATGAAAAAAACTGAGGCTGAGAGGTTAAGTGACTTGTGCAGAGGCACATGATTAGTAAATGTTTGAGGCAAGATTCAGACTTGAGTCTTCCTGATTTTAGGTCCAGCATTTTGTCCACTTAGCTTCTGTAGGTGTACCAGGTGGCCTTCTCTGCCAGCATTTATATAGAAAAATCTGGTGTTGCCCTTCTTCTGTGTCTTAAAATAGGAAAAAGAAGCTTTCTTGAGAGGAGGGACTACTTTGTCTTTGTATCGCTGGAGTCTATCATAATGCCTTGCACAAAGTAAGCAATTTACAAAATGCCAGCTGAATTCAATTGAAGGCGCAGCTGGAAGGGGAGATTGAACACACACTAAAAAGGGAACAGGCAGAGAGGTGACAGCACTGGGGAGCAGACATAACGGCTTATTAGCAAAATCAAAATGAAAAGGACATCGTGAAGAGACAGAGGGAGTAAGTAGGGTCTGAGGCAGATAGATATTACAAGGTAGAGAGAAAGCAGAGATGAGCAGGAAAACTGAACACCATGTGGTAGATGAAAGGGAGTGTATTCTAAAGCCAGGGACGGATGAGGAGATAGGAGGGAGGGCTATGTTTAAGCTTTGATTGCAAGCATTCTGCCTTCAGTATTAGGCACACGCTATTATCCACAGAACCTCAGTGTTTGAAGGGAAGTCAGGTAGCGTGGTCCAGCTCATGCCTGAAAGAGAATACGCTGTACAAATACCTAATGGGATCATCCTGCTTTGGCTTTGAGGCCTTCCATGAGGAGAAGCCTACTGCCTCCTAAAGCAACCCTTTCCTCTTCTGGATAGCATTAATTGTTAGGAAATTTTTCCTCATATCAAGTTTAAGTTTATCTCTTTGTACCTTTTATCCTCTGCTCCAGGTTCTGCTCTTTGAGGTCAAACAAGACCAGCCTCTTTCACATGACAGCCTTTCAGATATTTAAAGATAGCTTGGAGCTGACCATTTTTTCTAATTAATAAGTATTTCCCATTTATTTTTTAACTTTTGTTAAGGAAAAATGATGCTTTATGGTTAAAAAATAAACATACAAAAAGAACCCTCTTGTTATATGGTATTGGAAACTGAAGATAAAAATCCACAAGTCAAAAAATGTAATCTCAGTGTTTTAATGTTTTACTCACTTCCCTGTAATGTACATATTACCAAAAAATTTATGTATTTAACAATCTAGCTAATGGTCCTCGCTCTCCTAATTGGTAAAAGCTCACAATGCCTATCCTAACCCACTCATCAAACTATGCTTCAACCACCTTGGTGCTTTTGCACTGCAGCTCGATTTATTTACCTGCAGTACTTAAACTGATACTCCCATTGCTTTAGAAACCATTTGCTTCCTGAACCAAAACACTCTTCCCTCACCACCACTCACCTATTTAAATTATCTCCACCTATTGGAATGGAAACACCTTGAGGGCGAGGATTATCATTCTTTAGCATTTCTGTCTGTACCACTTAGCCAGTGTCTGGCATATAGTAAGCACTTAATAAATGCTTTTTCATTCATTCATTCACTTCATTTTCTTTCTATGAAAACTACACTGTTCTCAGAGTTCTGCTTTAGTGTATCTGTATGATTTTATAATGAATTTATTCCTTTAGAGAGAGGGAAAAAATGAAAATAATGTTTTCACTTGTTTCCCCTCAATTAAAAAGAATTACTTTAAAATTTTATTTTATTTCCAAAATCTCTCCCTCCCCATCTACCTTCCCCTTCACCCATTGAGGTGAAATCCATGCTCAATAATGTTTCTTGTGAAACTGTTTAAAAGAAAAAAAAGCCCACTACAACTATATATAGCCATGCAAAACAAATTCTCACATTAACCATGTCAGGAAGAAAGGAAGGAAGGAAGGAAGGAAGGAAGGAAGGAAGGAAGGAAGGAAGGAAGGAAGGAAGGAAGGAAGGAAGGAAGGAAGGAAGGAAGGAAGGAAGGAAGGAAGGAGAATTCCCTTCAGACTGCACTTGTCTATCTGGAGATGGATAGCATGTTTCATCATGAGTCTTTTGTCATTGAAGTTCCTACAGCGTTCAAAGTTGATTGTCCTGATGGTATTGTTGTTACTATATAAAATTACTCTCTTGATTCTGCTCACTTTACTCTTTAACAGTTCAAATGAGATTTCCCAGGTTTTTCTGAAACCATTCCTTTCATCATTTCTTATAGCGCAGTAGTATTCAGTCGCCACAACTAGCCATTCCCCAATTGATGGACATCCAAAGGAAAATATTTATAGCTTTTTTTTTTATTGCTAATACTTCGTGAAAATGTAACTAAAGACCTACTCAAAATACTGGTGCACATGAACAATCAATATTAAAGGTCACTCTCTTTTGGAGAGAATTTCTTCAAATCTCACAAAAAACTAAAGCCTGTGCAAGAAGGAATAGTCATAGCAAAGCGTGTTAATATTTGTTGTTTTTTTGAGTTACTTGCACTTGAAACTACTTGTCATTAAAAGGGGGGGGAATATGGTATTTTTCTCCAGGCCTGCAATTCAGTTATACCTGGGTAGATTTAATTCAGACTTTCCTAGGGAAAAAAAAAATAACCTTTGAAACAAGATCAAGCATGGAAATTTTCAACCCAAGAAGTTTTTTTTTTTTAGAAAGTTGTAAGTGAATGAAGCCAGAGATTCATAATGAAAATGCCCTTGTGGACGAGGTGTTGGCAGATGCCATTGCCAGCACTAGCTGTTGTGCCCTCTTTCAGGTTTCCTCTTAGCGCCATCATGTTTCTCTTGACTAAGAATTGTCTTTCATTATTGAGATTGCAGTTTCAGCCGGGCCATCTTCTATCTTCATGCTCAGTAATGTTTCTTCTGAAACTGTTTTTTCCCATTTTAAACCACAAAACAAGAAGAAAGAGATTTTAAGAAGTTTCAGTGCCTAAATCTTCCCTCACTCAGTTCAACCAAATTACACTTTTCTTCACCACCTGTCCAAATTCCTTGGCATGATGGAAGTTGGAGATTCTCACTCTGGGGAAGTTTGTTTTTTGTCTTCCTGTCTACTGTTTACGTCATGACAGAGCCATAGACAAAGTAGCATTTAAAAATTAATGAAGTTGCAAAAATGGGAAAGTTGCAGCTGCCACCACCATCGTAGACTTTTCCTTATTTCTAGAACATTGTTGTGTTATCACTTAACTGAATGAATAACCAAACTGCTTTTCTGATTTATTCCCCCAACCAGTAAACTGAGAAAGTGGGGTTTTGAAGGGATGGAAGCATTAATAATGATGGCCTTTAACATTACAGAAAAGTTTGTCTTTGAAAGATAGCACTCTCATGGCTGGAATTAGATTTTTGAAGAACTGAGGTGCCCAACATTTGGATGATAACTTAATATTTTTAAATTCATTTGCAGGGAAAATGCCTCCTCAGGGTCAACCATTTCAGGCACTCTGTGTTTGCCATTTGTTATCCCCTTTCTTCTAGTCTTCCAGATCAGGAACCAGATTCTTTTCTATTCTCCATCCCCTATGTCCAATCTTCTGTAAAATGCAGTTGTTTCTTTCATCCAGATATCTCCCAGATTTTCCCTTTCATCACCACAGCCACTAAACAGGTCTAGACCTACTTAACCAGCACCCTGATAACTGCAGTAATTTTTAGTTAGTCAGCCAAACTCCAGGCTCTCCTTACCCCTACATCTCTAAATTCACTCTACACCCTGAAGCGAGGCTGCTTTTCTAAGTTAATAGCAGCCCACAGGGATCCTTCTCATGCATAGGTCAGCGGCCTCATTTCTATTTTGAGTCTGATACAACTGCCCTATGACACCAAGGACAGTATTACATGGAAGGAACGTTCTCTATCTTAGAACCTAACACAGATACCTAACCCAAGGCTGGTTGGCCTACAGAATCTTATAAATGCAGTCCTTCAATTTGTAATTCCCTGCAAGTCATGGGATTGCTGTGTTTGAATAGTCTTTTCCTTCCCTCTCCATCAGCAGCCCTATATTGATTCTATTGGAGCATGCAAATCTGTATTTTAATGTTTTCTTCATATTATAAATTCAAAGTATAAAAATGAACAAAAGGACGGGTCTAGAGGTGAATTGAAACTGTTGTATTGGAGCTTCTGACATCTTCTGGTTCCAGCTTAGAGTTAATGTTTACATAAAGTTCTCTTTATCCAAAACTCTAAAACTCTGCTTACTTAGACAGCTGGAGTAGATTAAGCTTAGCCGGGGGAGAGAACATACTCTAACATTTCAGCTATACATTCCTGTAGAGAATACAAGCAAGACAAATACGTAAAAATCAACTCATTGCACAAGCATTTATAGACGTTCTGGGTGCTAACTGGCAGATGTTGCTTTACTTTGAGCTTACCTTGATAGAGAATTAGAAGCCTGAGAAGTTTATATAAATTTTAATGCCCTTAAGACAGCATAAAAACCACCAGAGTTCTTTCTGCTTGACCAATTTGGAACATTTCTTTCTCATCTAGGTAAAATTGGACCACCAGCTATGTTCAGGATATATCAGGACAATCTTA